TGCAACATGCGGATATCTTATTTAACATGCGAATTCTGATTCGTGTTGAGAAAATTTATGAGACTTAATTTATAATTGTAAATAATTTAATTCCAATGTTTTGTCGATTTTATTTAATGATCGATGGAATACTTTACTTTGTTCGAATTCTTAGATATATATATATAGATATAATAGAGAAATAATATAAAACAACTAATTTCTAGAATCACATCAACAATAGAAAATTCCGAACACGGATTTCAAAGAAATTTAGTCAATGTATATAAGACTACAATAAAAAAAAAAAAACAAGCACCAGAACTTGGAGAACATCTCTCCCAATATATTGTAGCTAGGGTAAATCGTGAGTATCATGTCGAGATTTTTTATTATGCAATTCTGGCGAAGAGCGATTGTTCGGGTATTCTTGACAAATACCGTAAATCAACGTGTCACCATTTTGAGGATGCAACACTCAAACATTGGAATGGTTCGCTGACTTCAATAATCCAAAATAAGTTTAATAATGTTAAAACTCATGATCATTAAATTATCAAATAATACGGTAAGAATATAAAGTACAAAAAAAAAAAATAAAATTAAAATAAAGTGGGATGTTTTATCGAGAAAATTTGTAAAAGACGGATAAGGGTAATAAAGATTATTATGGTGCTCCTCCTTATCTAAAGGAGCAGAAACCTCTTCGGACAAATCATCCAGTTCCGAGGGGGCTTGAGATGAGAGGTTTGAGGAGGTTCGCCGTAGAACTGTATTTCGTGATATTTGAAGCATAGGTGAACTTGAGGTAGCAGCATGCGGCAGTGTGTTGAAAGAAGGCGAGGTTGGACGACGTACGCGTGGAGTGACCGATTCCGCGAATCGCGAAGAATCGGCAAACAGCAAATCCGTCGAGTTATTATCGGTTCGAACCATGTCGATGTGTTCTACCTGCTCCATTGTCAATTTGTCGGTGTTTTATCACAAATACTAAGCTAAAGGGGGTTAGTGAATCGAAAAAAAAGCAAGTTTAATTATTGCAAACGTGATTATGCTGATCTTTTCAAATTTTATATGGTACAAAAAATATATATATATATATATATTGATTATACAAATCGAGTATATACTGTATATGGGCTAGATTTTTTTTTTAAAAAAAAAATACAGTTCGGTCCCCGCAAAAAAAGAGAATTATAATTTTATAATTATTTATTAATTTACATATCAAGTTATCAAAATTTAAATAATCATGACCAATACTTAATTTCTATTTTAATTTAATGAGACAATGCATAAATATACAAGTTAAACAGATGGGATTTAATTGTCCAAATAGTTCTTGCTTTTTTTTTTTAATGGATATTTTTTTAGATTATTTTAAAAAAAAGATTGTTCATAAATCGGATAATTAACGAGATTATAGTAACATTTCCCCATTAACATCGATCGTAATGACCAGTTATTTGTCAACTAACAATAGTTTGGGCATTTGGATAACTGTATTTTCGTGAGCACCAAAGAGGCAACTTTAAACTATCCTGTTATCAGAAGAGTTTCTTCTCCAGATCCCCTCAACTTGGATCCGGATGTTCGATCACTTCTACCACACTGTACAAGCCCGAAATGAAATGACATTTGCAGAAGGCATATGATAAAACCAAAATTTTCGATTTTCGGCATTTCAATCAAGTTATATTGGTAACCGTTGTAGATTCGAATGTCGGGAATTGAGCAGGCCAAAATTATCGCGAAATTAGTATTAGTGGAATATACTGTACGTATATTGCTTGGAATTATGAACTTGGATCCATGCTAGTAAAACCTTTTTCTTCATGTCTCTCGAATTATTTATTCATGTTTAGATTTAGGCAAATTCCAATCAAACTTTACAACGAATCAATTAAATAGAGAAAAAAAATTTTTTTTTTGAGTTATGAAAGATAACTTCCCGCCTCCAGCTTCTGGATTTTCATTGTTGTCTATTTCAATTGGCCTCCGAAGTTTTTCTAACATCGGCGTGAAACCGAAACGTAGGCACGTGACGTGTTACATGCGTGCGTGGACATATTTTAGTCGATTAGCATATTTTTACACAAATATTGTAAATTGAAATTGAACGAATGAATGGAGGATTCTTCTGCAACAACTTCGTTTGATCATAAATCAACACAAAACCATCTAGACGGAAAACCAAAGTCATCACCAACACGCAATGAAAAAAACGGCGATTTATACAAAAATCACACTTATCTAGTGTTCCTTTGTATTTGGATTTTTCTACTTCACACCGGAGGATTATATCTGTTTACCAGAGGATTTTTGCTTACAAGATTAGTTTTAAACAATCGTAGTGAATGCTCAAGCCCTCCTCTGTGGCATCATAACAGTGATATAGATGGTTCTGATCATGTTGTGTACGATTATCCCTGGGAGAACACAGTAGCCGGACAGAAGTTGACAGCTCGTGATGGATACATAGATCCTGGTCATGATGGCTGTTGGTATCCTTCACGTTATAAAAAAGCAGTGATTATACTTATCGACGCTCTCAGATTTGATTTCACAATTCCGCATAAGAATGATTCATCTTATAACCCTCATTATCTAAACAAGCTCCCTATACTCGAGCACCTACTCGAAACATATCCCTCCAACTCCTTGTTGTTTCAGTATGTCGCTGATGCGCCAACAACTACCTTGCAACGTCTTAAAGCTCTCACTACCGGGACCTTGCCGACTTTCATCGATGCTGGAAGTAATTTCGCAGGATCGGCTATCATTGAGGATAACTTAATCTATCAACTTTTCGGTCAAAACAAGAAGATTGCTTTTATGGGCGATGATACGTGGCTTTCCCTTTTTCCGGATCAGTTTGATCCCACCATGACAAACCCTTTTCCTTCTTTTAACGTTTGGGATCTGAACACCGTCGACGACGGTATACTACGTTTATTGGGTCCGACATTAAGAGGTGGTAATGGTGTGGAAGACCTTGGCTCAGGATCACATTGGGATGTGCTCATCGCTCATTTCTTGGGGGTTGATCACTGTGGACATCGTTACGGACCGGATCATCCAGCAATGGCCGAAAAATTAAGACAAATGAATAAGATGATAGGTGATGTTATTAGAGATGTCGACGAGGACACGGTAGTTCTAATAATGGGTGATCATGGAATGGACTCAAAGGGGGATCATGGTGGCGATAGTGATAACGAGGTCGAGTCTGCTCTCTTTGTTTATAGCAAGAAAAATCTGACACACGATTCAAGTGCATCAAGTATTCTTTCGCAGATTCACAAGAAGCTGGACGAAATTGACGGGCACGGAGTGAAATCCTTTACTTCAAAGTATGGCAATTGGCGAAGCATTCCCCAAATTGATTTTGTACCAACTTTGTCTCTCTTGCTGGGGATTCCCATTCCTTTTAATAATTTGGGCTCTTTGATACCTGAGATGTTTCTTCATAATTCCGAAACCAACAATGAAGATGATAGCGTAGAGAAACAGTTGACGGGATTGTTGGACGTTATGCGACTTAATGCAATGCAAGTTTTTCGATACACAATGGAATATTCGAAACAGCGACCTTCTGATTTGTCAAAAGAGAACCTGCACGAAATCAGAGATATGTTCAACAAGGCCGAGGAAGACTATAAGCTGTTGAAAAGTTTATCAGACCGACCAATCACTGAGGATTTTGTGAATTCAATAGTGCTTTACATGAGTTTCCTAAGGAATACATTGTTTATATGCCGACGAATATGGGCTCAATTTGATGTGGCATTGATGATCTCTGGTATTTCTGTCTTGATTGCGAGTTGCTTCTGTGTCGTTTTGCACCTTGTACGGAACACAAAAGAGCAAACATTTTTTACCAACTACGCGGCTGTTAGGCATGCTTTGGTTGGAGGAAGTTTCGGTGCAGTTCTGGCGAGAATGGGTTCGGCTAATTTTATGATAAGTCCGTTGTTGAGAGATTCGAATTTTTCAACGCTGGATTTTATTATTATTGGAGCCTCATTCGGATCAATAATTGGTTACTTGATTGAATTTGTGAGATCTGGAGCTTTCCCAAAAATACCAAAAAATTTTCCTCTTGTCTCGTTCGACACCCTCTTGTCTTTGCTCTTTCTCATCCTTCACTCCTTGCTGTTCGCGTCAAATAGTTTTACGGTTTTTGAAGATCGAATCACTCTAGTGTTAATACAGACGTTTGGAGCATATACCTTTTTTAGGGCGTTTAGGATAAAGAATAGACAGTTATTTTTAAGAACAATCTTCTTGTCCTTGGGATTCTTGATTGCTACCAGGATTGCATCTTATTCGACCATATGTCGAGAAGAGCAAATGCCTTATTGTACCCCCACCTTTTACATATCATCCTCATCAACTCTATCATCACCCTTTACCCTAGTAGTGTTGGTAGCTATGTCAGCGCTCATGCCATTCTTCATTCGTCGTGTTTTGCAAATTTCAAAAAGCTATCACGGCATCGCGCCATTCTGGATTGATATCGGATTAAGATCGGGGTTGATACTGTCGGCAGCTTATTGGTTGA